CTCTGTTTTTTAAGGTAAATATATATATATATACTTTATGTTGTATATACTTATAGTAAATACAAGTCAACCACATAAAGCTGTCTATTAACATTTAACATGGAACATTAAAAATTGTTAATATAATCTTTGATTAAAATTTTGATCTTTTAACAAAACAAAAAAGATCAATACAGTTGCAACAGGCTTATTGGACAAACTACTCTTTTAAAGGGGTCATATGATGTTGCTAAAAAGAACATTATTTTGTGTATTTGGTGTAATGAAATGTGTTTATGCGGTTTAAAGTTAAAAAAACACATTATTTTCCACATACTGTACATTATTGTTTCTCCCCTATGCCCCGCCTTTCTGAAACACGTCGATTTTTACAAAGCTCATCGGTCTAGCGTGAGCGGAAGGGGTCGAGAACGGCGCGCCCGGCGGATCTGACGAATGAGCAGCAACCACATGTGACGGACCCCGGCCTGGACTCAGCTTCGTCCACGGTGAAAGTTTATGTATTTCCTCAGCGACCAGCACAGTTCAGCTCCAGGCATGACGAAGCGGATATCGTCCTCTTTTGGAAGACCAAACAAAGTAGTTTCACTTTCACAACGAAGCACACAGCGTCTTCACGACATGGCGGCGGCAACAATACTACAGCGAGAATAAAAGTTATGCCTTCTTTCATTGCGTGAACATTTGGGCGGCGTTATGCAAATCTTCCCACATCGTGACGTGGATATGTGGGGGCGTGTTAGAACGAGGCGTTTTAGGTAGGCGTGGCTGACTCTTAACTTTTATAAAGAATATCTCTTTGGATTTGAGACTTTAGTCTTTGCAACTTTACAGATCTTCTTTATGCACCAAGAGCTTGTAACACTCCAAAGAGAAAGGAAAAATTTAAATCGCATCATATGACCCCTTTAAGACATTTTTGTGTAATCTGCATGAATAAAACTAACTACAAATACAAGCAAGTGACTTTTCTTTAGGACATATGTGCAATATGTTTGCTTAGGGATTTAGTGTTGGCTTCAATGGTGTTTTTATTAGAGCAAAATACTAGGGTATTTCTGAGGGAAAGCCCGTGGGTGGGTGGCTGCTATAAGAGAAAGAAAGCAAAAGTAAGCTGCACTGTGTATATATTCGGCAGATGCAAAGCAGTGAGCATTAAAAGCCAAGTGTGGAAACTACTGACAAGACATGGACATTATATCCAGCTATTTCACTGCTCTGGTAAGTTACTCCAATTGAATCTTGAACACTTGCAGTATTTTTTGTACTGGACGATGGTAAAATGTGTAAAACAGCGATGAGAGTATGTAGTGGTAGCTAAAAGCATGATCAGATTAGCTAAAAATGTTAACATTTACCTTTTTATTTTAAGATTTATTTTGGGCCTTTAATTAATTTGATAGGACAGTGTAGAGAGGACAGGAAGCGAAGTGGCGCCGACAACATTTGACCTTTTACTTACAAAATAAAACAAACTTAAAGTGATAACACCTATATTGAAGGAACAAAAGTCATAACACTTTAGATTAGGGATCACATATTAACTATTAGCCTAACTAAGAGTCTCCCTCAATAAACTCCTAATAACTGCTTATTATTAATAAGGTAGTTGTCAAATATGGTCATGCAGAATAAGGCATTAATATGTGCTTTATAAGTACTAATAAACAGCCAATATGCTAGTAATATGCATGCTACTATAAGCAACTAGTTAATAGTAAATAGTATTGAAAATGACAGAATATGAAAACCATCTTTAGACATCTTCAAACTTATAGCAATTACAGTATAATAAGGAAAAATAAATACAGGTTGCATGCACACGTTGTGGGAATGTGTAGAATTTAATGAACGCTATACTACAATTGGGGTTATGCGCAACAAAATTCTGCAACTTTACCTTCAAAGGAGATACCAAAGATAAGCGATGTCCATATGCAGATTGACAACAAAGTTTTTATTTATCGTCTTCTCAATAACATTTTGATATCAACTCTGAATAAAATGCCAACATTGAAAACAACTAACTAGGTTAGCTGATTACCTTAAAAGTCTATAGATATCTCCATAAGTGCATACTGCTGTTAATACTTTATCCAATAAGATGTGATGAACCTGTTTTATACTAGATTAGAACCCTTTTTATTCATGTGAATATTACTTTAAAAAATCTTTGACTGGTGATGTGCTTTAAAGGTGGAGAAGATCAACTCAATCTTCTGGTGGTGGAGCAGCAGTTCAACACCTGCAAACTGTTCGACAGCCAATCAGAATCAGACAGAGCCATCAGAGAGCTCAAGTGAAAGTATGGTGAACATCCAGTTCATCCACTTGCAGCTCATTATGTTTAGTGGTTGTTTTGTACACACACAGTTAAATGTTAAGAGACACTTAACTGAATTTGTTCTCATGATCTTAAACACCTTTTAATCTTTTGATTTTGAATAGTAGTGAATGAAATCATTCTATAATTTATTGCAGTCTGAAACTTGAATATAATATTGAAGTTAGTCAACATGGAATTGTAATTGACTCTTTACTTTCTTAATACTCATGGTCTTACTGTGCACAAATCATCAGTGTATTTTAATACACAAAACAAGTTTGACTTTAATCAAAAAGCATTAACTTGCTCTTTTCAGATGACATCCCAGTCACAAAACCTTCTGAAACATGGGTGTCTGAGGTCCAGGAGGGGAGCAGTCCTGTACAAACCACTGTAAACTCGCATTCAGGTCATTATGGTATGAAACACCTGCTTTATAACTCTAACCCTATAAAATAAATTCCCAATCAATAAAATAAGCTCAAGTTTTTGTGATCTTGACGTTATTTAAAGGGGTCATACGATGCTGATAAAAAGAACAGTATTTGGTGTAATGCAATGTGTTTATGCGGTTTAAGGTTCAAAAAACACATTATGTTTGTCATGTTACGTTGCTGCGGGAAGAACGTAGGAGACACGGAGTAGCATTCACAGTCTTTAATGACGAAAACACGGGATAATCCACAATAGGAGCTGGGCAAACACACGTAGAAACAATAGACCTGACAGAGACAGACTGCACAGACTGGGACTTAAATACAGGGGATGATTGGGGAAACACAAGTGCATGGGATGACTAATCAAACTAAACGAGGAGAGGAACATGACCAAATAAGGAAAAACAGGAACAGAAACAGGGGCAAAACACGACACAGAGCAGTCCAGAATCCTGACAATTTTCCACATACTGTACATTATTGTTTCTCCTCTATGGCCTTTCTGAAACGCGTCGATTTTTACAAAGCTCATGAAAAGTGAGGTGTGCTCTGATTGGCCAGCTATCTAGTGCGTTGTGAACATGGCGGCGGCGGCATCAACAATACTACAGCAACAATAAAGTCACGCCTTCTTTCTTTGCGTGAACATTTGGGCGGCGTTATGCAAATCTTCCCACATTGTGACGTAGATATGTGGGGGCGTGTTAGAACGAGCCGTTTTAGTTGGTGTGGCTGACTCTTAACTTTTATAAAGAATATCTCTTTGGGTTTGAGACTTTAGTCTTTGCAACTTTAGGGATCTTATCTATGCACGAACAGCTTGTAACACTCCAAAGAGAAAGGAAAACTTGAAATCGCATCATATGACCCCTTTAATTATTGTTTTGCTCTGTTATTTCAGATCATCCACACATCCCGCCACAGTACTCAAACTCATTCAGTGATCCTGATGAAACTGCCGAAGTGGACAAGATCAACATCATTGTGAAATGTGCTGGAAAGACCATGGAAGTGGACATGTTCCCACTGGAAAGCATCTCAGTTTTACTAAAGGAGGCCTGTGACTGGGCAGGGAAGAAACCAGAGAAAATGTCACTGGTTTATGAAGGTAAACAAAGCATTCATTCATTGTTCTTGATGTTGACCTGATGCACACCATGTCATTTGTAACGAGTCATGAAATGTATTGACATGGAAATGTGAACCACAAAAGCAACAACTAACAACTTTTATATACAGTAGTTCCATGTGTGGGGCTGCAAATCATTAATTGCTAACCTTATTAATTTTCAGGAAACCGTCTGGATGTGAACAAGACAGTGAGCCAGTATGGACTACGAGGAGGAACCACCGTACATTTGATTCATGCCTAGAAAATGAATTCTCAGGAAAAAGTTTCTATGTATAATACAAGTACACTACATAAAATATTGTTCGAACTCAATTTTATTATTATTAGTAGTAGTAGTAGTAGTATTTAGTGCTTTAAAGCAGTCTCATGGTTTATTGTTAAAAGCATTGCATTGCCATGTACAGTCTTAAATACATTGTAATATAAAATTTAACTCATGTTTACACTGTTACCTCTGTAATCTTATTTTAATGACATTTTAACTTTATTTTTAACATATGAAACATATTTTGAAAAAAAAAAACTATATAAAAAATAAAACTGACTTAATTCAAAAGCAACACTGACTCACATATATGAGTTCATTCAGACACAGTATTTTTACTTATATTGGGACACTTTATGGCTGATAACAGATATTGATTATTATACAGACAGCAACTTTCCCTGGCCGAAAAGTTTGAAAATGTAAACAAAAGGCATTTTAATATTATGTTAGTGTAAAGGTCTAACAATGACATCTCAGTAAACCACATTTTACACAATGCAGTGGAAAATACATAGTCTGAGTGAATGTATGTTGATTAAAGTGAGTGAATTTGTTAAAAATTGATGAAATTAGTTGGAATTTAGTTTCGATTCTAGCACAAGCCAATAGCGTTCAAGTGCGGTTTGTAACGGAGCATTTCATTGGTTAAACAGACGGAACGGACACGCCTCTTTCACTGAACTAGACTAATTCATGATTCACTGGTGTAACCTGCAGAAAAGGCCACTGAACGAAAGCGAGATCATTTTGGTGAACTGACTCAAATGACTCGAGTTGCTAGGATGAATCAAAAGTCCCAACCACAAACTCAAAAGACCCTCACACAGGCGCTGTAAACATGCAGTTGTAGTGCAGCAACAGAAACCACGTGATTAACGCGGAAGTTGTAGCCCTTAAGTGAATGTGAAGTCGAGCAGTGGCTCGCAGAGCAGTGTCTGGCTTGTTCTGACTGGAGCTTTGGGTTTCACGGTTCTGGTTCTGGTTCTGGTTCCTTTCTGTAGCATCTTGGGAGGTTCAGACTGAAATCTACAACAGCAGAAGCTCATTATCAGTGAGAATAGGTGAGTATTTCAAGCCATTGCTTTTGAAAATGATCGATGTTACATAAGTTTGTGCACGACTATTAGAATAGGACTCGAGAAGAGCCATGCATTGTGTCATTCTGTCTGTCTCTTTTCACCGGTTCTGCTTTCAACGCGTTAGAAGTCGGCATTTCATTGTTTTAATGTCTGTGGAATATAGATCTACAGTCGCTCAAGTCTAAAATCCAATAGAACAGTCTGCAGGCATTGCTTTCTCAACACCAGGCAGGATTTGAAGGCTTCATTAAGCTCTTTTGTAATGCAACAGACTGAATGGCATTGACTGTAAAGGAGCTGAAAAGAGAACAGTTGCATGGGAAATATCTGTCAATCCAGGTTAGGGCTCATGTCTCTCACAAGTCACTTGCCTCAGGAAAATCACAGTGAACAATTAGTGAAGAATGCACTAAAACAAGCCACAGCAGATTCTCCTGGGGTTTCTGTGTTTTTTTTTTCCAGATGGCATGGTGTTATGTCAATATGTTTCAGTTCTAAAGGTTTTGACATGAACATAAATGTCCTTGTTATATCAATCCATATGAGACATTGACCCAGTTTTATCTCCCTCTGTGCCATGTTAGTACAGACTGGAACTGGTTCATATCTGTTGCGCAACTTCAGCCAAAGTGTGTGATGTAGAGATGGAGGGGAATCTGTGTGGTTTGACAGAGATTAGATTTCTGGTCGTGATGTAGTGAAGAAATTAAGGGGATTATTAGATGAGAAACTGCATTATTTCTGCCCTTCTCACTCTGAATGTATTTAGTCATTTGTGGAAGTAAACAAAGAATGGGTTTTTCAGGGCACACCCAACCACAGCAAGGTTTTTACTGTAAAATGAACAGGATCTTTTTTACAACTGTCCTACCCGCCCTGAGTCTTCACATCTCCTGCTATAATGTATAATATTAAAGTAAATGGACTGCATGTATTTGTGCAGCATGGAATTTGCAGCCAAATTTAATGCAAAAAAAAAAAAATTAGTTATAACATTTGGTGCACAAAATTAGTTATTGCAGTTAATGCACAAAAAAGTTAATAGTGCACACCAGTAGCATTTGGTGCACAAAAAATGGTTATTGCATTTAGCACACAAAAAATAAATTTGCAACCAAATTTAATGCAAACATTATTTGTTATAGCATTTGGTGCACAAAATTAGTTATTGCAGTTAATGCACAAAGTTAGTAGTGCACACCCGTTGCATTTGGTGCACAAAAACATGGTCATTGCATTTAGCACACAAAAATGTGTTGTTGCATTTGGTGCACAAAAATAGTTGTAGCATTCAGTGCACAAAATGTATTTATTGCACAAAAAAAAGTTTGAATGACTATGGCACACAAAAATAGTAATATCATTTAATGGACAAATTCGTTATTGGTGCACAAAGGTAGTTAGGCTATTAGTGCAGAAAAGTTAGTTATTGCATTTGGTGCACAAAAGAATTACCTATAGTGCACACAGTTTATCTATGGGTGTGCACCAAATGCAATAACTGAATTTGTATATGTTCAGAAGAAAATGTGATGGTGTTTAACTGTGCAAAACCCACTGCTATAGAGCCAGGGTGTTGCTAGGGTATTCTGAGTGGTTGCTAGGTGGTTATTTGCTGGGCCAAATTAAAAGAGCCCTTCCACAAGTCTCCATGATGGTTTTGTCTTTCTGTATGCAAGTCTGACTGCTTAGAAAAGCAATACACATGACTTGATGCTTACAATTAGGGTCTCTTCAGATCACTAACCCTAGCATGAGTAAAAGAAATAGTGATGCTACTTTAAAAAGCACCACTTATGACTGTTGTACAGCATATCTTCTGCACTTTCCTTATCTTTCATTATTGGGATAAACAGGCAGGGACAATCGCTCTCAAATGGCTACTATTGAGTGTTCTGTTGAAATCAGAATAGCAATAAGAATGAGTTGCTTTTATGTTGCAGTGTTGAATGTCTGCTGTGATTATGATCTCTTAGCTCTCTGCCACTTAATTACGTCATCAAGATTTCTCCTCGCCGATGCGCATTTAACATCTGACAACTGGCTCTTGCAGTATGTTTTTGATTTGACAGTAGAGTGGATGAGCTTTACTGAACAATACTAGACAGGTCTGACTCTCTCTTGCAGTAGGTGCTGGTGATTAGGCGAGCTCCATGTATGAATGTGTGTGTTTTAGCTCCCGAGTGAATTAGAAAGTCCCTCCATACTCGTTCGTCCTAGTCTCAGCGCTTCTCTAATGAGTTGCAGAAAGATGAGATCAGATAAAAGTACAGTCACCATCCAGAGGAAGAAGGGAGAGTGATAAAAAGACAAAGACTGAAACTTAAAAATGCTGACTGTTCAAACAGCACCTGAAAGTTGGAAGTCATTAAGGCACATCCGAATCCACTGAATGCATAACATCCCGTCTGCTGAGATGCCTTCATCTGGGCGGTGTTTGAGGTCTGGATTTGAGCCCTGAGCGATCTAATCTTGGGCTTAGTCTGGTCTCATGGGGTCTAGTATTGGTGGGTCTCATTACTCAGTGTCCTGGTGTGGATCTGGGTCTCGGCTTATAGTCTATGAGAATATTTCCAGTGTACTAAAGCTGATAATTACCTCAAACACTTGCTGGCATGTTATCTTCAGCATTATAGAAAATTTGCAGGAATCTCCCTATATTGTGTATATAAAATACACAATTAAAATTAAAACATCTGAAGCACAAAAAATTAGTTGCAGCATTTGGTGCACAAAAAATAATTATTGCTTTTCGTTCACAAAAAAATTGTTATTGCTTTTGGTGCACAAAAATAGTTAGTTATTGCATTTGATGCATGAAAAATAGCTATTGCATTTAATGCACAAAAAAATAGTTATTTGGTGCACAAACAATTAGTTATTGCATTTGATGCACGAAAAATAGCTATTACATTTAATGCACAAAAAATAGCTATTGCATTTGATGCACAAAAATAGTTATTTGGTGCACAAAAAATGGGTTGATGCATTTGGTGCACAAAAAAAAAAGTTATTCGGTGTACTAAAATGGGTTGTTGCATTTGGTACACACAAAAAAAATTATAATTTTTTTCTTTAATTTAATCTGGAATAACACAAATGTTATTGCATTTGTATGCATAGAGAGAAAGAGAACAAGATAGGATTTATTTATTTATTTTGAGGGGACATATTGCAAAACGTTCAATTTTTGACCATTTGTGTAAGACTAAATATATTTATTTTGAAAGTTGCCCTCATAATTCACTTTTAATGCATTGGTCTGGGAGGGTCTCGTCTTGACTTCAGCTTTGATGAAAGAAATTACTTTGAAATGGATGAAGAATCCTAAGAAGAACTCAGTGATGCTTTAATCCAGCTCTCTTTCAGAGTGATTTTTCTTCATAATTCTCTGCTCTGTGGGGTGTCTGTCCTGTTGCATTATGGTCAGTACAGCTGGCTCAGTTCACTGTGTGTCATGGCAACATGTGGCAGATTTAACAAAAAAATTGAAAGCCTCTTAACTGTGTTAAAAGAGTATGATATTCCCACTCTCTACATAATTCTTGTTTTCTTTCTACATCCGCTCTCTCTGTATTTCTCACACTATCAGCTTCTGTTTATTGATTCCTTTTTTGTGGTTCTCTTTCTGTTTCTCAGGGTTGTTTTGAGGTCAGATGATATCTACGATGAGGCTGTAACTGAAGCTTTTCTTGAGTTTGGTCCTGATTGTTGCCAGAATGGCCACTGCTAAGAAAGGTACGTCCACCCTTCACAACTAAACTTTCTAATTTTGCAGGGGTTTTGGATGCATAATTGTCAAAATATGAACTGTGAGTGTTTGCTGACACCTTACTGAAAATCCTACTTCTTTTGGGAAAAAAAAAAAAATAAATAAAAAAAAAAAAAAAAAAAAAAAAAAAAAAAAAAAAAAAAAAAAAAAAAAAAAAAAAAAACAACAAA